CTCTCTCCCCCCTCTCACTTTTTTTTTTGGTCTTCCTTTTCTTTTTACCTTTCTCACTTTTCTGCTCAGCCTCTACACACTGAGTTTCTCGACAGGTCTAGGTGCACAGTAGCCAAACACCTGAATACTTTTTTTTTCTTTCTTTTTTTTGGAGAGGTTTTTGCTGTAGGGCGCATGCGCTCACCAGAAAGACAGAGAAAGAGAGAAAGACAGAAAGCAAGAAATCACCCCCCAGGGGGGATGGCCACACCGCAATCCCTTCTCCTCCTTTCTCCTCTAGGGATCTTGGGCATGAACGCACACATGCCCTGTGTGAGTTTAAGCCACAGGGTCCAGGACTCAAACCGCGTTCGACAACATGGGAGTCCAGCGACATAGCCATTGTGCTAACTGCAGGTCTCATACCTGAACACTTTTAAGGTCAGATTAATCCTCAATTTCCATGAAATCTGCTGCACAAAGGGAGAAAACGTTACTGCTTAGAGCTTGCAGATTGCCTCCTCTGATATGCCTCTGAATGCTCAGATTTAACTTCAAAAACCAGGAAAAAGCATATAATCAATCAGATGACCAGAAATCACTGCAGAGGTACAAATATGAGAAACCAAGAAACGATCTCTTCCCTAAGGGAAAAGAATAACTCCACATCCTCCACAGACAATACAAGGGAACTTGTGGAAATGTCAGATAAAGAATTTAAAATATTCATAGTGACAAAGCTAACAGAATTCCAAGGGAAGAGAGACAACACACCCCAGAAAATGCAAGAGAAAAGAGACAATGAGTTCCAGGAGGTGAGGAAGTTCTTGTATGAGCTGAAAGAGGAAATACACTCCATAAAAAAAGAATTGAATGGAATTTTTAGAGACGAAGGTTGTAATACAGGAAACCAAAACCTCCCTTGAAAGTACTAAAAACAGATTAGATGGTGCAGAAGGTTGAATCTCAAATGTAGAAGACAGAACCTCTGAGCTAGAAAAATTCACCAAAAAGACTGAGAAAAATAACTTAAAAAAATGAGAATAATATATGAGAAATACAAAAAACATCTATATAATTGGTATCCCAGAAAGTGAAGAAACTAATAAGGGCACTGATAACCTATTCCAAGAAATACTTGAAGAAAACTTCCCAAACCTAGAGAGGTGCTCAAATATCCAGACCCAAGAAATACAAAGGACCTCCCCCTCATAGAATCAACCCAAGAAGATCTTCTCTAAGGTACATTATAGCCAGACTGACATTGACCAAAACCATAGACAGAGACAAGATACTAAAATTGCCAAGAGAGAAACGTCAAGTTGATTTCAAAGGATATCCCGTCAGGCTAATGTTGGACCTCTCATCAGAAACCATGCAAGCAATGAAAGAATGGGAAAATACATTCAAAGTGTTGAATGAAAAACAATTTCAACCAAGAATACTATATCCAGTAAGATTATCCTTTATATGGAGGGGAAAAAAAAAAAAGACAAAAACATTCTTATATAAACAAAAACCTGAAAGAATTTACCAACACCAGAACAGCTCTCCAAGAAATGCTGAAGGGAGTGCTGCACCAGGAAAAATAAAGTCAAACACACAGAAATAAGTGTACAAAAAACAGCAAAGAAAACAGCCAGCCTAATGGTAGGGACAAGTCCAGGGTTGAATGTTAACTTCCAGAGTTTAAATAGAAAGTGTTACCAGGGTAACACTGCAAATTCAATAGAAGGGAGATTAATTACATGGGACTAACTGGTGAAATAGAATTTTATGACTTTTGACTAAAACATTACTGATTTTCTCTATGCTTTGTTTTCCAGATTTAAGGATTTTTGTCGTCTCTTGAACTATTGATAGTTTCATCTAACTACTGCTTGAACTGAATCTTAACCTTTTTCCTGGCTTTCAGTCTTTTTTTTTTTATGTTTTTTTTTTTTTTGAAAGGTTTTTGCTATAGGGTGTGTGCGCTCGCCAGACAGACAGAGACAGAGAGATAGAAAGCAAGAAATCACCCCCCAGGGGGGATGGCCATGCTGCAATCCCTTCTCCATTCTCCTCTCAGGATCTTGGGCACGCACGCACACACACATGGCGTGAGTTTTAAGCTACTGTGTCCGGGACGCGAACTGCGGTTGACTACGTGGGAGTCGAGCGACATAGCCATTATGCTAACTGCTGGTCCCTCCTGGTTTTAAGTCTTAAGCAAATTTTTTTAAACATTTTTCGATTTTGATCTATTAAAACTAGAACTGTTTTTTCTTGAAATTAAAAAATGAATTAAAAATACCTATTTAATGACTGCAGTAAGCTATATAGCCTTGGCTAGGTGCTATTTTATAGTATGTTCACTTTACTCATTGAGGTTTACTCCTAAGGTCAGATATGTTCATGGATATGTATATATCAGCTGTGCTTGCTATAGAAAGTTTTTAGATTAATTAAGCTCTTTATTGAATCGATAAAATGTGGGGGAAAAAAAGGCATGTAAAACAACTGTAGATACCAGAGACAACATGGGAGGAGGGTGGGAAATGGCAAAGGGTGAGAGGTAGGGAATCAAGGGGGAAGGGAAAGGAAGCCAAAAAACTCCACAATACCCCCAAAACAGGCACTTCGGCAGAGGTCTGATTTACAACTGCTGTCTGTGGTGCTGGGTGAAGAGGTCTCTCTTGTACTTTGCCTTTCAGCACCTTGCCTATATTTGAATTCTCTTTCCTTCACGATGCGCTATTTTCCAGTAAACTGAAGAGTACATTGTTAATCCAGTTGACTATGCTACCTTTTACGCTATTCGTTATACTTTATCCTCACCCCACAAAAGACCAACATACTCTATATTAAGCAGTTTACACTTGTTTTAACTTTGCAATGTTGATTTAACCTCTTTCCCCTTGAATTCTTCCATAATTTTGCCACACAGAATGATTTTCATACATGTCTTCATTTCGGTTCACATTCCATCTATTTTATGTAATTGGAATCATAACTGCAAACATTTTGCTTTCTTATTTTACTTATGATAGAGATTTCATTTTAATCACTAGGAAAGAACATTTGTCAGTTGCCAAGCAACCAATTTCATTTCAAAAGTCTGAACAAAACTTGATTGCCTATAGTGATTAACATTGGATGGAAAGACAATGGACATAACATTTAATCTCTAAATAACCTAGTATGATATGTTTTAAAAGATGTGATATCACTTATGTTAAGTGTAATAATTTTTTAGTACATTCAAGCCCTAAGTAATATCACCTTTATCAAAAACAAGTTACTGGATATACAGTAGATACAAATCCCTGTCCCAAGTACAAACTATAAAACAGAAAAGATAAAAGCATTAGCGTTGCACTTGTTTCTTCAACAGGATGAACTAAATTGGCAAAGTATCCTCATCATAGAAGGATTTTCATAACCCTAACAACAACATGTGGCACTCTTATCACGGGAGGAAAACAAGGATAAAACTCTTACAGTTTAATCTGTTAGTAAATAATAGTGAGTAATAGATTTTTTCAATAAGCAGTGGGTATTGTGGTTGCCAGTATCCATTTCTGGTCCCACAAAGCAGTATTTAAAAAGAGAAGCCTGCAATTTTCTTAGAAAAACACTTAAACATCTTTCCAAGTAAATGTGAAGTAAAATGTGCCGGTAAGCCTTTGGAAGGGTCTGAAGGCCATGATTTAAAATATTGTTTGGGGGTCAGCCAGCGGCCTGGTACTCACATGAGCTGGATCTCGCACCGCTGACTGCCATGTGGCTGACTATGATTTGAGTCCCGGACTGTGGCTTGAGAAACACATTGGACACAAGTGTGTGGTACCCAAATCCCCAAAAGGAAGGAGAGATGGAGGAGAAAGGATTGCAGCAGGACCATGTGCCATGGGGAGGGGTGCTTTCTCCAATCCCCCTCTGTCTGTGTACCTCCTGTGAGTGCACGCACCCTCTGACAAATTAGAATCTGGTCATAATAAAAGTGGATTTGACTGCTGAGAAAAGTATTCGGTGTTTTCTGATAACAGCACTGTCAACTCCTCTCCCAGGTTCAGTCTCATTAGGTACAGGACCATGCCAGCATTGTGACCTTAGGTCACATATAGTATTTCAGCATGTAGTAAGCTAGTCAGTGTAAGGTTTGAGGGGCCAGGACTTTTGGAAGGGGATGGCTCAAGGTCAGTGCTTCTCCACTTTAGGAGGGTAAAATGAATACCTTATGGCTAAAGTAAAGTGGTCAGGAGAGAATCCCACAGGTGAGTAAGGAAGAGGCAAAGGATGGTTGCGGTGTAGCTATAGTCGTGACGGTAGTGGTGGCATTATTAGGGAGAGGAGAAAAGTGAAAACCTATTGGAATAGAGGTATACCCGGGATGACTGCATGGCAGGCATATACATATACACATACACATACATATACACATATACACACATACACACGTACGGTACCAACGACAGAATCACTCCCAATAACTACCACGTAAATTCTCAGAAGTGTGAAGCGCCTTCATCCGTACCTTAAGGAAGCGCTACGGTCTGGCCCCGGTTTGTTCTCCAGAGGTGCACGTGCTGGAGGCTCAGGCTCCACCTCGAGGGAATTGCAGTAGCTGGCCCTAGCGGGTGGTGTTGGGATTGGCCAGTCCCAACCCTCCAGACTAGTTTAATAGGGTCGCGCGAGAGGCGGTGCGTTCTCGCTCTTGCAGGAATGGGTGAGTTCCCGCGAGAGTGCGTTCCGGAGGATGGCTGCGCTCGCTCGGGGTGTGCTTTCTTCGCTCGCGCCACCTGCTGACCTTCCTGCTTCTGTGAGCTGGTCCCCTGCTTTTGGTCTTGCCAGCCACAGAATCGTGGGCCCCGCAGACCTCCGTTCTTCATTCTTCACCCGGTCTCGGGTATGTCTCTGTAGCAACATAGTGCTGGTCTAATGCAGGAGGGTTCCGAACTGAGTAACCTACCACAGACTTCCTTGTGTTTAAAAACGGTGTTGAGTCAGCAATACGGAAGGAAATGCTTCTGTTCACTTACCTTTTCCAGGGCAGCTTGAACAACTGATTCGCTTTCTGTATCCAGGGCAGATGTAGCCTCATCCAAGATGAGAATCTTGGGGTTTCGAACTAACGCTCGAGCAATGGCAATTCTTTGTTTTTGTCCGCCACTCATTTGAGCTCCTTTTTCTCCTACTAAGGTATTAAATTTCTATTGAAAAATAGGAAGAAAGGCAGCCTTATCGAATGATTAGAACTGGAAATGTCATACACCGTCAGTGCATCTTAATACTAGGTTAATCACTAATTCAGCCTGGTTGTTTATGACTTTTAATTTGTTCATTTAAAAAACAGCCAGAAAAGGGCCAGCAGGTGGCGTGGTGGATGGAGGCACTGGATTCCCACATGGCTGATTGCGGTTTGAGTCCTGGACCTGGCGACTTGCTTTCTCGGGTTCCCTTCCTCCCTCTGTCTCTCTCTGGTCAAATTGGAAAATGATATTAATAACAAATGGAATTAAATAAATAATTCTTTTTAAAAAGCCAAAAAAAAAATGAAAATAAACGAGTTAGTGAGGAGAGGGCATAAGTAAAATTTGGCTTGGACTAGAAGAAATTAGAATACATGACAATCAATGAGTTTTAGAGAAATTAGCATTTTGAACTAATTTTCAGATCTCTGTAGACATTTTTAGAATGTTTTGAAATTTTTAAGGAAAAACCACAATAAGACAAAAACATATTTAAGCATTTTCTAACTGGATAGTCCAAAAAAATTATTCTAAGAACAAACTTCCATGCCTGGTGTGTGTGTGTCGCATGCGTGTGCATGCATGCCCCAAATCCTGATGGGGTGGAGAAATGGAGGAGAAAGGACTGCAATGTGAGGACACCCCATTGTGGGGTTTGCGTTTCAGGCTGACGCGGGCATACTCGATGCAGCTCTGTATGGCTGCGGTCCTGGCCAGCTGGAAGGCTGGGGTGGGTGGGTCACAGTATGGCACAGCCCTGTTCAGGGTGCCTGTCTCTCTGTCTCTTTCCCATGAAAGAAGGAAATAACCTAAACAAGAAGAATCTGTACATTCAGCTGCTGATGAACATTTAGTTGTTTCTAAGATTTGACTATTAGAAATATGTATGTTTTCCTATTAATATTAATGTTCAGGATATTTTGTTGGTCATATTTTCATTTTTTGGGGGGGATAAATACCTAGGAATAGAATGCTGAGCCATAAAGATATGTTTAACATTTTCATAACTGTCAAATTGTTTCTAAAATGGTTTTACTGATTTTATAAGAATGCATGAGAGATCTAACTGCTTACATCACTACCAAAAATCACATTTGTTTGTCGTTTTAATTTAGGCCATTCTAATGGATGTAAAAAGATATTTTATTGTGATCTTATTTTGGACTTGTTTGCGAACTAATAATGTTAAATATTTCTCATGTACATCCTGCTCATTTGATTCTCCTTTTGTGAAATATCTCTTAAGTTTTTATTATTTTTAATTTTATTTTATGACTTATTGCTGAGTCGTAACAGTTCTTTATATATTCTGAACTCATGCCCTTATCAAATATGTATGATGTTATGAATATTTTCTTGTACTCAATGCCTTGCCATTTCATTTCCTAAATTGTGTCTTTTAAAAAGTAGGTTTTAATTTTGATGAAGTTTATTTGACCACATTTTAATAGTATATGCCTTTTTGCCTAAGAAATCTTTGCCTACTATAGGTTACAAAGATTTTCTCTTAAGTTTGCAGTTTTGAAATTTAAGCTTTATTATTTTAGTCTAAGATCTATGGCAAATACATTTTTGTGTGTGGTATAATATAAAAGTAACATTTTTTTTTTCACATATGGATATCCAGTTCTAGCACCATTTGTTTAAAGAGCTTTCTTTCCATCATTGAATTCCACTGACCTTGGCAAAAATCAGTTGGCCAGATTTGAGTAAGTTTATTTCAGAACTCCCACTTTTACTATACTGATCTATATACTCCCATCATTTTGCCACTACCACTGTCTTTTTTTTTTTATTTTGAGAGGTTTTTCCTATAGGGCACGTGCACTCGCCAGACAGACAGAAAGAGACAGAGAGACAGAAAGCGAGAAATCACCCCCCAGGGGGGATGGCCATGCCGCAGACCCTTCTCCTCCATACTCTTCTCAGGATCTTGGGCACACACGCACACGCGCCCGGTGGGAGTTTTAAGCCACTAGGTCTGGGACGCTAACCGCGGTCGACCACGTGGGATTCCAGCAACATAGCCATTACACTAACTGCTGGTCCCACTACCATTGTCTTAATTACTGTCTTAAAGTTAGATATTTAGGTCCAAGCTGGTCCGTAGCCTAGTGGTTAAGGGAGTTGGATCCCACATAGTTCACCACAGTTTAAATACTGGCCTGACAGCTTGAAAAACACTCCAGCAGCGTGTGTATGCATGTCCAAAATACCAGTTGGATGGAGAAATGGAGAAGGGATTGCAGCATAACCACGCTCCATGGGGGGTAGGGATGTTTTCTCCCTTTCTGTCTCTCAGGTGAGCACAAACACACTCTGGTAATTAAAAAAAAATAAGATATTTAGGTTCTCCAGTGTTGATCTTTAAAATTTTCAGCTCTTCTTGGTCCTTTAAATTTCCAAATAAATTTTAGAATCAGTATGTCAATTTCAACTCATAAAAAGGCTGGTAGGATTTTGATTGGTAAAGCATCTGACTTATAAAACTTGGGGAATATATATCTTTACAAATATTAAGACTCTAAATCAATGAATAAGATACCCCCTATTTATTTAGATCTTCATTTCACTCAGCAGTGTCTTATAGTTATTACTAGAAGAATTGCCAATCTTTTATTAAATTTATTCTAAACATTTTATTTTTGGATGCTATTGTGAATGCCACTTTTAATTTTAATTTCATTTGTAACTATTGCTCCTATTTAGAGATTCATTTGATTCTTAAAATAGTTACAGGGTCATTAAAGTTATGTTTTTTTCTGGAGTGAGTGTTGGTAATTTGTCTTTAAGGGAATTGATCCTCATCTAAATCAAGTTTATAGGCATAGCATTGTTCAGAGTATTCCCTTATTGAGCTGTTAATGTGTTTAGGATCAATGCTCACATACCTTCTTCCTTGATATTGGTCATCTCTCTCTCTTTCTCTCTCTCTCTTTGTTTCTCTCATCATCAGACTTGTTAGAGTTAGGCTGATCTTATTGATGTTTTTACCAAGGAACCAGCTTTTGGTTTTGATGATTGTCTCTGATAATTCTTGGTTTTAGGTTTCACGGAGTTCTACTCTAATCTCCCTTTATTCCCCTCTTCCTGTTTGCTTCAGATTAATTTTGCTGTTCTTTAGTTTCTCAGAGTGGACATATTTTGCGAATCTTTTTTCTTTTCTAAGATATAAACATTTAATACTATAAGTTTTTCTCAAAGAGATGCCTTAACTATATTCTACAAATATTGGTGAATTTCATTTTCATTTTTTTTTAGTTCAAAGGAGTTTTTAATTTTCCTTGAGACTTCCTCCTTGAACCATAGGTTATTTAGAACTGTGTTATTTTGTTTTCAAATATTTATTTGCCAGATATATTTCTGTTACTGATTTCTAGTTTAATTCGATTATAATCTGAGAATAACATTTTATAAATTTGCTATTCTTTGAAATTGCTAAGGTTTTGTTTTGCTTGTACTTTTAATGGCCCAGAATGTTTTTTTATCATAAGGAAGATTTCATGTTCACTGGAGAAGAATGCATTCTGTTGTTAGGTGGAATATTCTATAAATGTCGTTTAGATCTAGTTGGGTGATAATATTGTTGAGGTCATTGTCATCCTTACTGATATTCTGTCTATTTGCTCTATTAAGTACTGTCATCTTGGACTAAAATTAAGGATTTAACTAAAATTATGGATTTATCTCTTTCTCTGTTTACATATATCAGTTTTGCCTCATGTATTTTTTAACATTTCAAAATGTTTTTGGTTTTAATTAATTTACATTCATTCACTGAGCATTGTCACAGAATATAAAATGTGATTTCCCATCCAGAATATACTGCGTAGTGGCTTAATCATACATGTTATCGTTAATAATTTTCCATTTCTAGTTTCACATATATATATATATACACATGTGTGTATATATGTATGTATATTTTCCCCCTATTTCTCACCCTCTGCCGTTTCCCACCCTCCTCCCACCCTATGTCAGTTTTCCACCTCATGTATTTTGAAGCTTTTAAGTGAATGAATATTTAGGATTATGTGTTCTTGCCTACTGGTCATATTTTCCTGTTTTTTGCATGTATAATTTTTATAAATTATCATTGTCACAGAATATAAAATGTGATTTCCCATCCAGAATATACTGCGTAGTGGCTTAATCATACATGTTATCGTTAATAATTTTCCATTTCTAGTTTCACATATATATATATATACACATGTGTGTATATATGTATGTATATTTTCCCCCTATTTCTCACCCTCTGCCGTTTCCCACCCTCCTCCCACCCTATGTCAGTTTTCCACCTCATGTATTTTGAAGCTTTTAAGTGAATGAATATTTAGGATTATGTGTTCTTGCCTACTGGTCATATTTTCCTGTTTTTTGCATGTATAATTTTTATAAATTATATATTCAATACTGTATATGATATATTGGAAAGACTTAAATTCTGTTTTCTTCTGGAAAAGAAAAAGTTTGTTTTTGTTGTAGTGGGAGTTCAAATACTGACTGATCATCTTGAACTTGTGCAATTTGGTTTTGTGTTTTGTTGGAGTGAATCTGTAAAAAGCCTCTTAACTTGGCAGGACCCAACCTCCAAATTTTGTCTCCTCCAGGGAACTTGATTTCAGACTTTGTCAGGGCAGGTCCAGAGTTGGTCTTATTCTGAGGTGTGGCTTTTTGGGTGTCTTTGTTACATACTTGAGGTGTTAGAAAGGTGCTGCACTTTCAATATCCCCAGGACTATTTGACTTCTGGCATTTCTTTCTGCTCTCAGCTTTGTAGCTGCTGCTCTCTGACAACCCTTGGGTGGTCTCATCTCCATATAGGGCTTTCAGAGGGATTCCTACATGGATTTCTGCCCCCACTTCAACACCACAGCTCTCTTATTGACTCTCCAATTGCTGGAGCTGCCCTAAAATTTGATCTCTGTCTTTCAGCTCAGTAGGGCTGCCACATTCTGTCTGGGTTCCATTTTACAAAGATGAGGTCAGACATGTTCACAGGCGGGACCTGGCAAGTGGAAGAGTTCCCTTGTGTGGTGGCTGAGGTCACTTGGAAGGCCTGGGTTTGGTTCCTTGCCCAACTTGTACAGGCTGGGTATTCTGGCATGCTCCTGAAGTCCTACCTAACTAGGCTGGAGGATCATGATGGGGCAAGGCCCTGTCAACAGTATACTCTCTGTGTCTTCTCACCCTCTCTCAGTCTCATTAAAAAAAAAAAAAAATTATGTTCCGAGGCAGAAAGCTGCAAAGTCATAAAGTTTCTTTATGACATTCCCTTCTTTCAGTAATTACAGTCTTTTATTAATTTTTTGAGTAGTAGTAGTTTTTTTAAAGAACGATATTTGCTGTAAGAGACAGAGAGGGACAGAGACACTGAAAGCGAGAAACCATTCTCTAGGGGATGACCATGCCACAATCCCCTCTTTGTTATTCTCCCCTCAGGATCTTGGGTATGCATGCATACGTTCCTGGCATGAGTTTTAAGTCTCTGAGTTCAGAACTCGAACTGTGGCCGACTATGTGAAAGTCCAGCGACATAGCCATTATGCCATCTTCTGGTCCCCTAGAGTGATTTTTTGCTATAGGGCATGTGTGTTTGCCAGAGACACAGAGAGAGACTGAGAGAGAGAGAAAGAGAGAGAGAGTGAGAAATCAACACTCCAAAGAGATGGCCATGATGCAGTCTCTTCTCCTCCGTTCTCCTCTCAGGATTTTGGGCACGCATGCACATGTACCTTGTGAGGGTTTCTAGCCACCAGTCTGGGACTCGAACCACGGTCATCCATGTGGGAAGTTAGGACCACAACCACCATGCCACCTGCTGGCCTCAGTCACAGTCTTTTGTGATCTCTTGTCCAGTGCCTGGAAGCAATTGTCCTAAGTCTCATACGTTTTACCCAATTTTATAGTTGTTTACAAGTGAGGACTAGTCAATATCAGCTAATCTTAATATCTAAATTTAAATATATGTAACTATTGGGGCTTGCTGGTGGGTGGTTAAGGGCGCTGGACTCCCACATGGTTGACCACGGTTCAAGTCCCAAACCTGATGGCTTGCTTTCTCACTTTCTCCCTCTCTCTTTCTTTCTCAACCTCTCTCTCCTTCTGTCTCTCTCTGGCCAAATTAAAATAAATAAATAAGTAAAGTTAAATGTAATAATTCTTTAAAAAATATATATGTGTGTATATTTTTGAGTGAGCTTTTCCCAATTTTTTGCATATCTGAATTAATCATTCCTGGAACTTTTATTTATTGTTATGCTTACTGTTATATTTCCCTGATTAACCTTGGCTGTGGAATTTAGTTTTCATCCTGATGACATCTTTAATTTGTTCTTTGGGTTATATCTTTAAGATTTACCATTAGATTTACAGCAAGGGTCATCTTTGTGCAGTAGTGGCCTTTTAGTAAAAGCAAGTAGTAACCTATAGGGTATGATTTAAGAGGCCTCAGAATGTTCCATAATTCTAAGTGGGAAACTGAAGGACACTGTTGTTTTGAAAAAAGGAAATTACCAAAAGGGGCCAAGTTAAATGAAAGGAAGTTGGTGTTTCCTCACACGATAGGCAAAGAATCTCCTTAAGTCCTTAATGATCTTGTTGGGCTAAATACTGTCCTAATTACAACTCTTAATAATAGGGGTGGGAGATAATCACTGGCGTAACAAAAAGTTTTATTAAACAAAAACAAAACATGTGGATGCACAGTGATGAAATGTGACATTCTGCAAGTCTGCCCCACATGGGGAGGTTCTGGGTTCATGTCTAGAGGTCGTCCTGAGTATTTTGGGTATGTTTGTGCTCAGGATCTGGGGCTGGCTGAAGAGGGGGTGGATCATGTCATGGAGACCCTTCCGGAGGTGCCTGTCTCTGTGTCTTTCATTCTTTATCTCTCTTTCTCTTGCTCACGGAAAAAGGAAATGGAATTATGAATGAAAACCAAAAACAAAAACCAAGAATAATAAAATTATTATGACTCATGGAGTTTGTGAAATATATGAATTAAAATTAACTTTCTGTTATTGTGACTGAGATGATTGGATTTTATGTCTTTTAATTTAAAATCTCACTTTTTCATATTTAACTGTGTGCTCCTCACAACAATTTCAGGTGGTACTGATGAACTAGCACTGCAGGAAATGTAAATATAGGGTTGTATTTGTATAGCTCTTTATCAATTTTAAATACCCAATAAATTCGATATATCTTATTACCAAGAATTTTAGTTTATTATATCTCTTTCCAGGTATGTTTTTTTTTCATTTTTTTAGCCAGTATTAGCTTCATATACTTCTAAAGATTATTATAATTTCCTTTTTCTTTATCATTGAACTGATTCAGTTTGTGTGTGTGATATTCCCATATTTAGCCACAAGATGGCCTCACAAATCAACATTTTGAAAGCATAATTTCTCAGCTTGGGCTGATGATTTTGTCTTATCTTTTTTTGTTCATTATAATTTAACATTTGCTTTTTTTCTTTACCATTTACAGTGAAAGCCAATAAGAACTAAATATTACACTTTAAATTGGTCTTTTAATGATGATTTTTTTTTTTTGGTTGTTACCATGCCTTGGACAATCCAAAAATTAATTACACTCCCATTCTGCTGTTGATGTTTTTGTTTCATGGTTGTACTTTGGAATATTGCATGCTGTAGCTCTAAATTAAGGTCATAGTGTACTTACATTAGGAAACTCCATTATAAAATCATAAGCATTTGCTTCCTTTGCTGCTTTTTCAATCTCTTCATCAGTCACTCCATCTCGTCCATACTTAATATTGTTACTGATGGTGGTCCCGAACAAAATAGGCTCCTGGCTGACCACTCCAATTTGTTCCCGATAATGTCGCACATTGAAAGCCCTGATGTCAGTCTCATCCACTGTAATCTGTCAATCCAGAGAATGAACCATATTGTGATGCCTTTTCCTATATTGGCTTTAGAATTTTCTTTCTTTTTTTTGAGAGGTTTCTGCTACAAGGCGTGTACACTCGCTGGAAAGACCGGGAGAGACAGAAAGCAAGAAATCATCCCCCTTGAAGGGGGAACGCCATGCCATAATCCCTCTCCTCCATTCTCCTCTCGCTGCATGCACGTGTGCACAGTGTGAGTTTAAGCTGCCAGGTCTGGGAGTCGAACTGTAGTCAACTACGTGGGAGTCCAGTGATGTAACCATTATGCCATCTGCTAGTCCTGGCTTTAGAGCTTTCTTAAAAGTCTAAAATGTGAGTTGAGACGTAGTATATTTCAGGAATCAAAGCCAACTGTATTTAGATAAGATATTTATAACATGTAAAGTCAAGCTCCATCTTATGATGGTTCAACTTAATAGTTTTTAAACTTTATGATGATGTGCAAACAATACTAATTCGATAGAAATTGTTTTCCAAATTTTGAGTTTTGGTTGCAACATGCAGTAGGATATTCTGTTGTGATGCTAGCAGTGGCAGAGAACTGTAGTCCCTAGTCTGCCATGCCATCACACGGGTAAACAACTGATACCACAGTTTATTAAATATGTTCTTCAGGGTTCAGCAGCAGGGGGCATAGTAATTGAAGTGCTTGGCTCCGACACGGCCCACTACAGTTCCAGTCTTGAACCTTGTGCGGCTAGCTTTCTCATTTTCCCTTTCTCTCTCTGTCACTCTCTGGTCAAATTAAAGTAAATGAATAAATAAAATAAAGCAATTCTTTAAAAAATATTTTCTGGACAAGGTATTTTCAATTTACAATGAGTTGATTGGGACTCATCCTTGTTGTAAGTTGTGGAGCATCTTTATTTTGCCAATAGACTTTTTCTGGTAGATGGGAACCAACAAAATTTCAAAAAATTTTTTGGCTTAAAATCTTGCCAAACCACCTGAATACTTTTATTGTAATATACACAAATTATAGATAAATACTCAGACTGGTCTCGTTGTGAAGTGGGTTAAATCCTGTACATAGGGAGCTGGTTTCTACAAGGCTGACCACAGGTTGAGTCTTGGCCCTGCTGGCTTGAAAACAAGCTGGGTATGTTTTATGCATGCCCCCAATCCTGATGGGATAGAGAAATAGAGGCAAGGTTTCTGTGGTGTAACCATGTCCCCTTAGGGAGTATTTCTTTCTGTCTTTGGCAAGTGTACACGCACTCCGGCAATTAAAAAAAAATGTCCAAGGTGCCACAAATGTTCTTATGTAGACACATGCAACAAATTTCAGACTTATCAATTTTTAAGACAGGGTCTCACTATGTTTCTATCTTACTGCCTTGAACCTGGGCTTCCTATTTAGCCTTTCCTGCCAAGAAGCAGCACCAAGGATTGTGTCCTACCATGGCTGGGCTCAGTTCTGTTATTTTAAGATTTAAATGATGTTTTAATTTCTTCTGGGGAACAGCCATCTTTACTTCTCTTTGATATCTTACTGACACATAACAAAGCATTTTCTGTTCATTGCTATAAATAATAGTAAATGAACTGTCTTTCCTGTAGACGGTGTCATTACCTGTTATCCCAATGTATTCCAGTGACAGAAATGAGTTTGGTAATTATAACTCTGACTATATTAGGAATTATGCACTTGTGAATGTCACAGTCTCATTCTCTATACTATTTACAAATGTGAGAAAGCTAAGTGCAACATTATAGACGATGGAATAAAAGAGGGAAGATGTTTTCTTTTTTTTTTTAAATGCTTTTTTAAAAAATAATAATTTATTCATCGTCATTATTATTATTTAATTTGCTGCAGGACACATGTGCTGACCAGAGACAGACAGAGAGACAGATAAAGAGAGGAAAGTTGAGAAAGCAAGCTACCAGGTCCAGGAGGCTTGTGGGATTCTGTGGTAGTCAGCCATGTGGAAGTCTGGGGCTTCAACCACCATGCCACCTGCTGGCCCAGGGAAGATGTTTTCTACACACATTATTTCTTATGGAATGTTTTGACAAACTTCAAAATTCTCGTTAAGTTCTAGATACTACAAATTGCTATTATTTTTCTCCACAGCATTCATTCCCTTCTAACAGACTATATAGTTTACTTATGTTATTTATTGTCTATTTTTACTTGTTAGCCTGCAAATTCAACAAGGGCAGAGGTTTTTGTCTGTGTTGTTTATCGAGGTGTTCCCAGAATCTAGAACACTGCCTGACACAAAATAGGTACTAAATAAATATTTGTCAAATGAATGAATATACATGATAGGAAACAATACAGTTTCTCTTTTAGCTCCACTATTAACAATTAAAAGTTGAGCCAGCCTCATGGCACAGCAGTGAAGGTGCTGTGCAGAAGTCAGATCCCATGTGACTGATCGAGGATCAAATTCCTGTCTTGGAGACCACATAACACACACACACACGTGGATCCTCATGGGGTATAGAATTGGATTATGCCATGACCAGGCCTTGTTGGGGAGTTCTTGGTCTCTCTCTTGTGTGTGTGCACACACCTGGCAAAAATAATTTAAAGTTGAGACCATCCATGGTGGTGATGCAATGTTACGTGGTCCTTGGGCCACATAAGAAAGTCCCGAGTCCTATCCTGAGGTCTCCCTGTACATGTTAGGTGAAGTTCATATGTTCATGATTGGGGCCACTGAAGTTGGGGATGGATTCAGCATGAAGATCCTGTTAGCGGTGTTCCTATCTTTGTCCCTCTGCCTCTTTCTTGTGTGGAAGAAGTAAACAAAAAGAAAAGTTGACATAGTTGTCAGCTCTTTGTAATAGGTGGCATTTCCAAGTCCCATCATGGAATATTCATTGTTTTCTTAGCTGTACTTACAGAGCCATCATTGGGATCATACAACCTCTGCAGAAGCTGAATTGTTGTACTCTTCCCACTGCCGTTTGGGCCAACCAAGGCTACTGTCTCTCCAGACTTAATTTTGAGATTCAGACCTTTAAGAATCTATTGGAATGTGTGGAGAGAAAGTAACAAAAATAAAATAAGCTAGAATATAATGGACATATTTTCAGAAATGTAATGTATGCTTATGAACAGAAAATGAATTATTCTGTGAAGCTTAAAAACTAATATACATCTTGTTATGCTTGTTTTACATACATGTGTAATAATAACCTACATAATTCTGGAAAATAATAGTAAAAGAATCTCTCATAGTTTCTCTACATAATAAGAATACATAAATTAAGAGTACTCATAGAATATTAACAAACTACAGAAAACTGTATTTTCAACTAAAGCACCAGATATGAATTTTGTGATTACCAAGTTAGTGAAAGTTTTAGCTTTTAATTTATAACAATTAAATAAAATCTTGCCAGATATCTTTTTTTTTTTTTTTTTTGGAGAGATTTTCACTGTAGGGCGTGTGCGCTCGCCAGACAGACAGAGACATAGAGACAGAAAGCGAGAAATCACCCCCCAGGGGGGATGGTCACGCCGCAATCCCCTCTCCTCCATTCTCCTCTCGGGATCTTGGGTACGCACGCACACGCGCCCGTTACCAGATATCTTTTGTGAGCAATTTAAGGAAGCTCTTCCTTCGATAATACTGAGGATCATTGCAACGTATATTGTAAAGTAAAACAACTGGCCAGGCTCCTTAGTGACTTCCAGGGATGAGTTTTCACCGTAAGAAGACTTCTTCTCCAGTGGTGGCCCTGGGGACCTTGGGGGCCTTGTCAACAGGGAGGAAACATTTAAAAATTTTTCTTAATGACTAAGGATTGCTACCAGCATTTAGTGTCCCAGCGATCTACTTTGTGAGAGAAGCCTCACAATAATGACCCTCCCGGGAACCAGCAGTTAGTGTAATGGCTGTCGCTGGACTCCCACGTAGTCGACCACTGTTCGCGTCCCGGACATGGTGTCTTAAAACTCATGCTGGGCGCGTGTGCGTGCGTGCCCAGGATCCTGAGAGGAGAATGGAGGAGAAGGGATTGCGGCGTGACCATCCCCCCTGGGGGGTGATTTCTCGCTTTCTCTCTATGTCTCTCTCTGTCTAGCGAGCGCAGGAGCCCTATAGGGAAAAACCTCTCAAAAAAAAAAAAAAAAAAAGAAAAGAAAAAAACCCAAACAAACAAAAAAATAATGACCCTCCCAAAATGACAATAGAGATCCTGTAGAGAAATTCTCACCTTCCTTGGCTTGCATTTGTATGTATTCAGCCCACAACAAGGAAATTTCCCCTTGGATTCTCTCACTTTGATCCCTCTGCTTGTAAAGAAACAACCCTTTAAGCCAAACATAAAACCTTCAAAGGGCCAAGCAGACAAAAAATTCTTATAGGAGGTGAGAAATGGGAGACAGGTAGGAGCACCTCTTCTCCTTGCTCTTTTACTTTAGAGTTGGTTTTGGTTCATTCCTTGTTTTAGAATTGGTGTTTTATTTATTTAAAGTGAGTAGACTTAAAAAAATTATTCTCCATCTTACCAAAAATTATTATGTTTCAAAAGTTCATTTTAAAAATAATCGTTTAAAACCCAGAGAATCCTTTTCCATGCAATTTAATGACACAATTGAGGTTTAAGACTCCAAAGTTCACTTTCAAATGTGGTTGCAAAATGAAGTTTGTAATACTGTATGTTAAGAAAAATGGTAGGCATTATTCCAACAGTAGTAATTAAGTAAAAATTTAACAGTAAATATTTTTAAAAAGCTTTGAAAAGAGAATTTAAATTAAAGTTTTAATCAGAGAAGAATACAGAAGTAGGAATAGATAAATCTTTTGAATTTGTGATTCTGTGAGGGACTTTAGGGGTTGATGACCTTAGTATCCACCTCACGTCCTCCTTTTTCTATGAAACCAGTGTTTTATTAGTAATTACACTTTGTGATCTTTAACAATAGCTACTTTTGGGGAATAACACTAATAAAAGGAGTAGGAAAATAGGAGACGGAACTTTTCACAAAACTCATCAAAACCTAATGGAGAAGGACAAATTGTGTGTGTGTGCACGCGCATACCTGCCTGTGTGTGCAGGCCAAGTGCGTACATATGCGGGTATTGTACATGTAAAAGTGAACGTACCTGAAACATAATTTAATTGCTTGGTGCAGTAAAAGCCCCTAGGAAAGGACATGGGGAAAAGCACAGCTAGTGTAGAATTTCCCCGGTTAGAAACTAGGAGCTTAGGATGGCGCGGAGGTTAAGGCAGCTGGATCTCATAGGGCTGACTGTGCAGTTTGAGTTCTGTACCTGTTGATTTGAAAACCAGGCTAGGTGTGTATGTGCATGCCTCCCCCCACACCAAAAAAAGACTAGGAGGTTAAAAGGAGTTATCTATCTTGAATGGGATTATATCTAGTCATCAGCGTATTTTGCTGTGTTCCCAGATCCACAGTAGAAATTCCAGGGAGTTCAAAACAATGCTTTTCATCAACTGAATATAGAAAAGAGATAGCAAAATATAGCTGACTAGTTTTTTTTTCTTTCTTTCTTTCTTTTTTTTTGGAGAGATTTTCATTATAGGGCACGTGCGTTCGCTAGACAAACAGAGACATAAGACAGAAAGTGAGAAATCACCCCCCAGGGGGGATGGTCACGCTGCAATCCCTTCTCCTCCATTCTCCTCTCAGGATCTTGGGCATGCATGCACACACACCCGGCATGAGTTATAAGCCACCGGGTCTGGGACTCGAACCGTGGTCAACTACGTGGGAGTTCAGCGACATAGCCATTACGCTAACTGCTGGTTCCCTAGCTGACTAGTTTTTGTTCATAACTGATCCTGCCTTCCTACCTATTCAGATGTCTTAAGTATCTGAAATCTTTATCAAAATGATTCCAAATCTCCTAAGAGGAGCTCTTAATCATTAGAAGATAGTATCAGAAGACTGTACAATTATGTAATTTTATTCTACATACCTTGATAGATGGTCTTGATGGATAATTAAAAGAAACATTTTTAAATTCTACTGTTCCTTCTATCCATTTAGGCTTATATCCAGTTGTTGAAAAGTTATCTATACTGGGTTTCTTGGAAAAACAAAGGGAAAATTATAAATCTTCAAAAGACTAAGTTGATAATCTATATTCTAAAAATAGTTTAAAAATAGTGTTTAATTTTTTTTTTTTTTTTTTACAGTGGCTTTCTTTCTGCCATAGAGCTACATTGAATTAGACATGAAGGTTTCAGTAAGGAGTAGTCCCCTCATGGAAAGAGTTAAAAGCAATGTCTCTTTCCATAGCCAATTGGCCAACATATTCTACCGTTAACAGAAATGAGTGTGTCTATTTCTTTTCTTTAGAAAAAAAATATTTTTAATCTCTCTCTTACACTCATGGTAGTTATTCTTTAAAGCAATAAGAGGACTTACCTTATCAATCACCTGAAAAATATTAAAGGCGGCTCCTCGGGCTATGGTGAAGGTTTCAAAGTGAGGGGCTGCAGCACCGATGCAGTAACTACTATGGATTACACAAAAGAAAACCTACAGGAAGGAAAAAGTAATATTTACCATTCTGCAGTTATATAAAACAGACAACAGAATGAAGTTTATAATTGATTTAGGTTCATAGATATTAATTAGGTAAGAAGGAATGGAAAAAGCAATCTAGTATGAAGGAAACAAAAATTAATCCAAGTATCCTCAGCTTTTTTCTAAAGCAGAACAATTTTTGATCATCCCTTAGTCTTGTAGTTATCACATGCTAGGAGATCTGAGCAGGAAAATCTGCCAACTGAGGGTGCTGGGCATGCATGAGTTCCCTGGGTAAGAAGGGAAATACCCTCTTCTTGCTAACCAACCCTTTGAACTTTGAAGAGAAGAGTATAATAGATTTCATTAGCTCAGAGACATGATACTATTTCTGCCCCTACTTTTTTGAATTAATGTGTTACTGAACAACTTTTAATTTTCAGACAGCTCTCTTTATAAAAAGTCAAATAAGGAAAGAATCCCACAAGCTTGGTGCAGTACTCTTAATCACATAGGTGAGGCTGAACAAGTAATTTACCCAGTCCCTCACAAATTGAACAGCATGAGCCAAAAATTCTTGTTGCTCATATTTTATTTTATATGAGATAGATGAAAAGCTTAGTTTCAGATTAAAATAGTGAATCTAATTGAGAGGAATCTATGTATAATAGGAAGGCCAAAGGAGGATTGAAGTATATAGAACAGATCAGTTTGATTCAGCAAAACAGATGTTTCTTGATCTTGAACTGATCTGTTTATTGTTGAAATTTAACAGGATAAATTAATAAATTGTAATTTAATAGACCAGTAGGTGGCATGGTAGTTGAGGTGCTGGACACTCCTATATGGCCGACCAGGGTTTAAGTCCTAAATCTGGTGGCTTGCTTTCTCACTTCCTCTCTCTCTCACTCTCACCCTCTCTCTCTCTCTCTCTGGTCAAATTAAAAAATAAGTGAATGAATAGATAAAATACAATAAATAATTTTTAAAAAAATCCATAGGAAATGAAAGATTCTAAGTTGTGATGTTGGACAGAGCTGTATGTAGTCTGTTATACCATTACTGTCTGCTGAGAGGACAGAGAGTACATCCAATTACAGAATATTTGCAGAGGGAAGACACTTAACAAGGTGAAAGTAGAGTGTCATTTTATCTCAGCAGGTTAAAACAAGGAAAAGTCTCCCTAGAGACTGACCTTTTTGACTGCTAGACTAAGAAAACTCTGTGTCTCCCAGCAGAGAATTTAATTTTGACTCTTCTTTGTTTTTTTCTCTAGGCCTAGTAATATTTATTACAGAGTAGGTTTCATCTGATACATGTTTAGGACAAATATTTCAGTGAGATTTTACCTTTTGAGCCTCTCGAAGATCCTCTCCAATAATATTGCTCACTTCAAGTTATTAGTTATCTGAGTTGTAATGAGTTAGTAATATATCTTTTTTTCTGTTTATTTATTTATTTATTTATTCTTTAACATTTTTCCACAAAAATTTACTTTACATATCAAAACTTTTTTTCATATTTTTTTCTTCTGAAACATTTTTTAAAAAAATTAATTAATTTACATTCATTCTCTGAGCATCGTCACAGCATACAAGATGATTTCCCATCCAGAATATACTGCATAGTGGCTTTATCATACATGTTATCATCAATAATTTTCCATTTCTATTTTCTTATTTATCTATCTGTATATTTTTTTTAACTCGTATTTCTCACCTTCTGCCATTTCCTCGCCTCCTCCCACACACTCTCAGGTGTTTACCACTGTTTTCCATTCCTTTCTCCCTACCCCCCACATTTTATTGATTCACAGAATTTCTTAAATAATCTAAACTCTTTAAATAGCAAGTTCAGCTGGTATATACATATCTGAGTACATGTCTGACTTTAGGCATGAAACTCTGAGTAGAATGAATATACTATAAGGTAGCACCTGGCTGATGCTACAACTTATTATGGTCATTAAATAGGTCTTTTTTAATATATTTTTTTAATTTCAAGAAAAGCAGTTTTAGCTTTAAAAAATCAAAGAAATGCTAAGGAACTTTGCTTCACACTTAAAGCCATTAAGCAGGTTAGGATTCTTTTCAAATAGTAGGTACATTAACCTATCAGCAGCTCAAGACAGGACAAAAATCCTTAAAACCTGAAAACAAAGCCTAGAAGAAAATCAGCAATGTTTTAGTCAAAATTCATAAAATTCTATTTCATCAATTCAGTCTCATGTACTCAATCTATCTTCTGTTGTGGTTTGATCTACTTGATTAAATTTGGGATATAATATTCAACTCCAGACTTGTTTCTGCTATTAAGTTGGCCATCTCCTTAGTTTTTGAACTCTGATTTCTGTGTGTCTGTATTTAATTTTCCTGTTACAACACTCGCTTGAGAACTTCTTGGAGATTTGGTCTAGTGTTGGTAAATTCTTTCAGATTTTGTATATCTGAGGATGTTCTTGTTTTTTCTTCCCATATGAAGGATAATCTTGCTGGCTACAGTATTCTCCTTGAAATTGCTCTTCCCTTAACACTTTGAATATATTTTCCCATTCTTTACTTGTTCGCATTGTTTCCAATGAGAGGTCTGCTTTTAGCCTGATGGGATATCCTTTGTAGGTAACTTGACGCCTTTCTCTTGCCAGTCTTAGTATCTTGTCTTTGTCTTTGGTTTTGGTCAATCTGGCTATAATGTGTCTTGGAGAAGGTTGATTCTATTTGGGGTCCTTTGTATTTCTTGGGTCTGGGTATTTGAATGCCCCCCTAGGTTTGGAAAGTTTTTTTGCAGGATTTTATGGAATAGATTATCAATGCCTTTATGAGTCTCTTTGCCTTCTGGGATACCAATTGCCTGGATGTTTGGATATTTGATGGTATCTAGTATTTCTTGTATATTATTCTCATTTTGGGGGCAATTTTCTCAGTCTTCATGGTGGATTTTTTTAGGACATCAATTCTGTTTTCTACATCTGAGATTTGATTTTCTGTATGATTTAGTCTGCTTTTAATACTTTCCAGGGAGGTTTTGACTTCCTGAATTATAGCCTTCATCTCTAACAGATCCATTTGATTCTTTTTTATAATGTGTATTTCCTATTTTAAATCTTGCAAGAATTTCTTCATTTCTTGGAACTCATCAGCTCCTTTCTCCTGTCTCTTCTGCAGTTCGTTGTCTCTCTTCTCTTCCATCTCTGTAAGCTTTGTCATTATAAATATTCTCAAATTCTTTATCAGACATTTTCATGAGTTTCATTGTACTATCTGAGGATCAAGAGGAGTTATTATTTTCCCTTGGAGGAGAGGAATTTTATTCCTTTCCCGTGTATCTTTTGACCCTGCAGTGATTTCTAATCATCTGATGGATAGTACTTTTCTTCCTAATTCTTGAATTTCAGTCTGAGCATTCAGAGACATCCAGAAGGAGGTGATCTGCAATCTCTCTTCTGTTCTGTTTTTACTCTTTGAGTATTAAATTCAGTGGGAATAGAGGAATGGTCTGAACCTAATCATATTCAAATGTTTGGAAGCTCTTCCCTTGGACCTGTCTAGGTATTTACCGCATAGAGACTGAGCAGCCAATGAATAAAGATAAAGAAAAAGAATTAGAGAAGAGAAAAGAAGAAGAAAAAATAAAATAAAAAGGAGAAAATAATAAAAAAGATAATAAAAAAGTTAGATCTTAAGTTTAAAAAGCAAAAATTGAAAAAAAATGAAATCAGTATTTCAAAGCTGAAGTTCAGTATTCAACTCAGGATGAGCCTGGCCTGGGTTTGTGCCTTTCCTAAATGTAATGTGGAAAGGCAGCAATTAACACAATAAAGCAAGGTATTGAGTCCAGAGAATACTTTAACTTAAAAAAATATTAAAAGTCACAGAGAGACAGAGAGAGACAGAGAGGAATGGAGAGAAGGTGGCTGAGGTACCCTACCCACTAGAAATGAATCTGGAGTAAGACGTGTCAGCAGAAACTATTTTTGGTCAAGGAAATCAATACTTCAGAGCTGAAGTTTGGTATCATTCTCAGGATCAAGTTAGTAATATATCTTAAAAACAATAATTAAGCTTCCATAGGCCAGGTCCAGCAGGTGGTGTGATTGTTAGACACAAGGCTGACTGGATTTGAGTCCCAGACTTGACAGCTTCCTTTTTCACTTTTCCTCTCTTTCTCTCTGATGATAATGTGTGTCCCATAGCAAATAATAATAATAAATTTAAAAATTAAATAGATAATTATTTTTTAAAAATTCCATGGGCCACTCTTTTAGGGGCCTCACCCCAGATTTACTGGAGCAAAACTCTGGGAGTTGGGATCCAGAAATCTGTGGCATTTTTGTTTTTGTCTTTTTTGTTTATTTTTGTTTTAATTTTTGCTATAGAGCACATGGACTCACTGGAGAGAGAGAGAGAGAGAGAGAGAGAGAGGGAGAGAGAAAGGAAGAGAGAGAAGAAGAAGAAGAAGAAAAAGAAGAAAAGTGAGAAATAACTAAATTGAGGATGGCTAGGCTGAAATCCCTTTTCTTCCATTCTCCAGTCAGGATTTTTGGCATGCAGGCACAAGTGCCCAGTGTGTTTTTCAGGCCGCCAGATCTGGGATCCAGTGATGCACTAGACCATGTGGGAAATGCCTTAACCACCATGCCACTGGCTAACCTCAAGCTGATTTATTATTTAGCTCAAATTCAGTTTCTAGGATAAAGATAACTTATTTTTCTTCCCAATTTTTTTTTTTAATTTCTTTTACACATTCAGTCACATACATCACTTAGCTTGTAAAGTGAATGTTCCAACAAGAATACATTTCTTACCAGTCCAGTTGGGGATACTGTACATGTTATCATCAACAGATGATATTTCTTTATCCCATAAATGTCTTACCTCTGTATTTTTCTCCTTAATGTCTTTCCTCAGACCCTTCTCCTTCTCTCACCCTCTTCTCACACTGTATTTGGTATCTATAACCATTTTCTATGTTTCTATATCCTCCACTCTTTCAGTTTTGGCCATAGAGTGTGGACAGTTGGTATGTAATAAGTGGAGACATACAATGTCTATCCTTTATAGGCTGACTTGCTTCACTCAGCAGTAAATCTTCCATATTCATCCACTTTCTGTCAAAATATCGGGTCTTGTTTTTTTATGGCTGAGAGTATATTTGCCACACATTTTAATCCATTCTTCTGTTTGTGGACATTTGTATTGATTCCATCATGTCTTAGCAGTTGTGAATAATGCTGCAGTAAACATTAATGTACAAGCTAAGTGTTTCCAACTAAGTGTTCTTCTGTCCTTTGGGTAGATACCATGGAGTGGGATTGCTGGATCATATGATGGTTCTATTTGTAGATCTTTGAGGAATCTCCATATTGTTCTCCACAGTGGCTAGAGCAATGTACATTCCCACCAGCAGTGTAGAAGAGTTCCCCTTTCACCACATCCCATCATGAGCACTTAACAATTTTTTTTTTTTTTAATTTTAGTCATTCTGACTGGGGTTAGGTGGTATCTTATTGTGGTTTTGATCTGCATCTCCCTTATCATGAGGGATGTTGAGCCTTTTTTCATATGCCTTTTGACTGCTGATATGTCTTCTTTAGAGAGTTGTTTATGCAGCAGATTTTCCCATCTTTTAATTTGGTTGATCATTTTTTTTGGGGGGGTAAGCCACTTGAGTTCACTGTGTATTCTGGTTATTATTCCCTTATTGAAGCATAGTTTACAAAAATGTTCTTCCATTCTCTGGGCTGTCAAGTTACACTAATTACTGTGTCTTTGCCACGTAGAAACTTCTTAATCTAATGTAATTCCACTTGTCTATTTTTGGGATTATTGACTGTGCTTTTGGGGTCATATTTAAGAAGTCTTTGCGTAGCTCAATATCTCCCAGAGTTTCCCTAGTATTTTCTAGCAGTAGTTTTATAGTTTGAGGTCTTAGGTTTAATCCTTGATCCACTTTGAGTTTATTTTTGTCAATGGTGAGAGTTAGGGGTTCAGATTCATCTTTCAGCAGGTGAATATCCAGTTTTTCCAGCACCATTTGCTAAAGAGGTTTTCCTTTACCCACTTCCCACTGGATTGACTGGTACCCTTTGTCAAAGTTCAGTTGACTGTATGTTTTGGGTTTATTTCTGCGGTATCTATCCTGTTCCATTCATCCACAATGTCTGATCTTGGGCATGCACACCCACGTGCGCAGTGTTCTAAAAGCATGATAGTTGGCTTGACAAGGACACTTAAGTCATGTTGGGTTAATAAAGCCTGTCAATTCTCTTTTTGTTTGTTTTTGGAGAGATTTTTACTTTAGGGTTCATACACTCACCAAAGAGACAGAGATGGAGGGAGAGAAAGTAAGAAATCACCCCCTGGGTGATGATAATTTCCTCTCCTCCATGCTTCTCTTGGGATTTTCGGTACACACACACGTGCCTGGCATGAGTTTCAAGCTGCTGAGCCAGCCCTTGAACCACAGTTGACCATGTGGGAGTCTAGTATGTTAACCACTATGCCACTTGCTGGCCCCAATCCTGTCAATTCTTAACTACAGTTTAAAGGTATGTATAAATCATTTGAGGGAAACATACTTGTTTATTAAAGACCTTCATCTTTGAATATCATCTTCACTCAAAGAGGAATTTTTCAAAACTCTAGGGACAAAGAGGAATTTTTCTAGGGGACCAGCAGTTAGCGTAATGGCTATGTCGCTGGACTCCCACATAGTCGACCGCGGTTCTCGTCCCGGACCGGGTGGCTTAAAACTCACGCCGGGCGCATGTGCGTGCGTGTCCAAGATCCTGAGAGGAGAATGGAGGAGAAGGGATTGCGGCGTGGCCATCCGCCCTGGGGGATGATTTCTCACTTTCTGTCTCTCTGTCTCTTTCTGTCTGTTGAGCGCATGTGCCCTATGGCAAAAAACCTTTCCAAAAACAAAGACTAAAAAAAAAATAAAGGAATTTTTTTTTAAACTCTAGGGACTAAGAAGATTAGGTTAGGACTATTGTATTTTTTCTCTAACAAGACTTACTGCAAGAACGGTTCCAATGGTATAACCAGGTTCTCCATTGATTATCAGAGAGGTTCCATACCAAAAAGCAAGTCCATAGGTTCCATGCATGAAGAAATACACAGCACCAAGGGACAATTTTGAAGCTATAGCCTTTTTTAAGCCAACATCCTTTGCATCTTTCAGATTCTGTGTGTACCTTATAAAGACAAAACACAATGTAATAGCCTTTGAGTAAAATAAAGCCAAGTATATTTTGTCATAAATAAAGGGACAGACCTTTGAATTTCTTTCTCTTGGGCTCCAAAGGATACAACTGTTCGGATTGATGACAAGACTTCTTCAGCTACAGCCCCAGCTTTGGAATATGCACTTAATTCCTTACTGGTTAGTGAGATGACCATCTGTAATAATTCATGACCACAGTTAACCAAAGAAAGAATCCATGATAGTAATAATGTTAGAGCATTTAATTCAGGTACACTCTGAAGTTTTGGTAGTGTAACATTATCTAGAAGCTTAATCTCTGTCCACTTTTCCTCTGCCTGTAGAACTTTGCTGTTTTATTCTCTCTGTATTTTTGAAAACATTTTTAGAAATGGATATCTATATTGGTAAGATTGGAAAAAGCTTGATTTGGAGAAGGATATTAGAACTCTCTCTCCTTCTGGATGAATTCTGGGAATTAATCTATTTGACTTGATTTGGATCATGTAACTAATTAAGCAAGGCTTCAAAAGGGTATGGGTCACAGAACTGTAGCAGAAAGCTGAACATGATCCTGCATATATGTGGGGTGTGACCTAGAAACTACTGCTGCAGAATGCATCCTGCCAGGGAAATACATCTTTGAACATCAGAGGTGATTTTAGAGAGAAAGAGGAGAATATATCACTGTGGTGTTAGTAAACAGATTTACTTGATTTCTCAAAATTTGAAATCAGAAGGTGCCTTTTTCTATGTTATATGTCCCATTTACTAGTCCTTTGTATTTCTGTACTTGGTGCAGAAGCTTTATGAAAGGAGATAGCAGGGACATTGCCATCAGAGCTGTGAGTTTATAATGAATGGCTTCTCACATAGTAAATCTATTCACTTTCAAAATACTTTCTATGTAAGTGGAGTTAATTTTATATAAGACATATTTGGATGGATGTTTAAGTGAGAGGGTGGTCTAAGGTTAAGTAATACTAATTTTTTGAATTCATGTAGTAAAGTTAATTAATTAATTATTTTTAATATGATTTTTTGGAGTTATTTGTAATTTTATTTATTCATTTATTTATTTTAATTTGACCAGAGAGGCAGAGAGAGAGAAAGTGAGAAAGCAAGCCACCAGGTTTGGGACTCAAACCGTGGTCAGCCATGTGGGAGTGACCAGCACCTTAACCACCACGCCACCTGCTGGTCCCCAAAAGTTAATTATTTATCATATATAATTAATGATAGCATATAACTGGGGGAGGCGCAAAACTTTGTACATAGTGAGTATTTAATAATTTAATTGGCAAATTAAATGGAATCAAAGGAAGCTGGAAACAATTTGCCCTGGAATCTCTAGTCATTGAATAACCATGACCTTCATTTTCTTCCTCTTAATGAACAGTTAATACAGTATCAGAACTTAGATTTCTCATTGCTGTTTACCTCTCTTCCCTGGAAGGTAAGGCTCTGATTTTAGTAACCTACTTGGCAGTCTTTCTTCTAATATGTACTCATTTCTTTCTTTTTTGAGATAGACTTTTACTATAGGGTACGTGCGCTTGCTGGAGAGACAGAGACAGAGAGACAGGAAGCAAGAAACCACCCCCTAGGGGGGATGGCCACACTGCAATCCCTTTTCCTCCATTCTCCTCAGGATCTTGGGCATCCACACCCACGTGCCCAGTGTGAGGTTTAAGCCACCAGGTCTGGGACTTGAACCATGATTGGCTACGTGGGAGTCCAGCAACATAGCCATTATACATTTCTGCTGGTCCCAAGAGGTCCTCATTTCAAATGAACTGGGGATGAAGATGTAACAAAGGTTACAAGGTCAACGCTAGAAATCATAGTAAATGATAAAATGAGATCTGTCTGTCTGTCTGTCTATCTATCTATCTATCAGCACACTACTCTGCTATAAGATTGATATTCTGTTGTTTGATGAAAAGTAGATGAACCTAAGAGATAAAATACTAAGTAAAATAAGCCAGGCTGTGAAAGACAAATACTTTATGTCCCCACTTAACATGTGCTCAGAGTGTCCATATTCTTTCGCAGAAGCTAAAGGACTTGATAGTATAGGGTAGTAGTCCCCAACCTTCCTGGAACCAAGGAGTAGCCACATGGAAGACAATCCCTCTACTGACAGGGGATGGGAGGGTGGGGCATGGGTCACAGGATGACACAAGTGCACCACATCCTCTGTGCACCCCATTTCCACCACTACCACATTGCAATGCACAGGAAACAATCATATAACAATGGGATTTGCACTCCCATAAGAAACCAGTTGCTGCTGATCTGATAAGGAGGTAGAGCCCAGGTGGCAATATAAGTGATGGGTAGTGGCTGCAAACACACAGGTGAAGTGTGCTCATTTGCTGGCTCATTGGCTGCCCAGCCCTTGCCATGGGGCCTAGAGGGCCAGCATCCATCTACAGCCCAACCCCAACAGTCTCACAGACCAGTGCTGTCCATGGCCCAGTATAGAGGGAGTATTGATAGATATCAGAAGTTATACAGGGATTAGAGGTGGAATGGGATAGGATAGCAGGGGAAGTAGCTTGGGAGAACATGATTTAACAGACACAGGAATGCATGCAAACAAGTCGAATAGGCTATAGAACAGTGTAAGAGCAGAGTAAGATACGCTATTGAAAATTTAATACATACTTTTAAGAAAAGTATTATAATGAATATCAAATATACTTAACAATATAATATTCAATGTTGAAGAAGATTGATATGTTTATATCCTTTATTTGATTATTATACGTTGTATACATGCATTATAAAACCGTACTAGGGCTGGATCCATGCCCTGGTGGTTAGGACTACTGGATCTCACATGGCTGATCACATTGTTCTTGAACTCCATGGCTTAAGAAACACACTGGGTGCATGTGTGTCCATTCCCAAAATACAGAAAGAAGGAAGAGAGAGGAGAAGGGATTGTGATATGACTATTCTCCGTGGGGTGTTTTCTCCTTTTTCTCTTTGTCTGTCTCTCTGTCTATCTCTCTGGAGAACATATGCTCCTTCTGGCACATAAAAATAAATTCTAGGATCTAGCACGTGGTGTGGATGTTAAGGTACTGGACTCCCACATGGTCAACAATGTGGTTTGAGTCCCAGACATGGCAGGTTGAAAATCATTCCAGGTATCTGCTCAGAATTTCAATAGGAGACTGGAGGCGAAGGGATAGTGGTATGGCCATGTCTCCCAGGGGATGATTACTCACTTTCCCTCTATTTCTGTCTGTCTCTGGTGAGCACATTTGCCCTGTGGCAAAATCCTAAAAGCAGCACAACAACAACAATACTGTACCCCACAAAGATGTACACAGATTATATAATTTCTGTAAACCAGAAATTATAATTTAAAAAAGTAAAGTAGCTTTACTTTCTACCTATAAATAAAAAGAAAAGAAAAAAGATTGGTTGTTTTAGTATCCAAGCCTATTGTTAAGGAATTAGTCAACCTTAATTTTTTTTCTTGAAAATTCTGTTTGGTTAAGTTTATATATTATGTAGTAAGTTAACTCAGTAAATTTTATGAATTTAATTTCCATAAAGAACAATTACTATTGCAAAATTAAACCCTTATACCTCTAAACTAAAAGATGGGTAGATATCCTGGTAAATTTGCCAAAGACAAGATGAGGTAAAGAATATTGGGACCAGCAGTTAGTGTAATGGCTATGTTGCTGGACTCCCACGTAGTCGACCGCAGTTCGTATCTCGGACCCGGCGGCTTAAACTCACGCCGGGCGCGTGTGCGTGCGTGCCCGAGATCCCAAGAGGAGAATGGAGGAGAAGGGATTACGGCGTGGCCATCCCCCCTGGGGGGTGATTTCTCGCTTTCTATCTCTCTGTCTCTGTCTGTCTGGCGAGCGCACGCGCCCTATAGCGAAAAAAAAAATCAAAGCCTTATAAAAAGTAAAAACTCGAAGCTGATGTAATAAAGTGTTTTAATATTTTCTCATTCTGTTTTAGCCAGAGAAACAAATTTATCTGGGAATTTAGAACACACAAGGTTCTCCTAGCAGAGACAACTAACCATTGCATGTATAATAGCATTACTTAACCCATGTAACTATTTGAAGTTGCATTAGGCTGCTAAATGAAGAGGATTTTTTTAATGTTAGTAAGATGCTAAAAATAAGCTTTATTTTAGGCAAATAATTTGAAGATAGAAATGCAATTAATAATGAACTAAATCAAAAGTATTTGTAATGTCTAGTATCCCTTTGTATTCTAGGACATGGAAAAATGGAATGTATTTTTTTGACAAACTCACTAAGACATCTAGTTCACACTTCTGCCCCCAGTCAACCACTTATTATATATTTGCATACCCTAGAACACACTGCTGCTGAAGCCATGATAAGAGGAGATGTGGATAGAGTCACCAGGGTGAGCTTCCAGCCCTTCACCAAGCCAATCAATAGTCCAATAGAAAAAGTAGAGATGTTTTGAAATAACAGAGCAATCTTGTCTCCAATACCATCATTGATTTTGTTGATGTCACTAAAACAAATAGATAAATGTAGTTAAGTATTTATATGTCATATTTGAAGACAAAGTTGATGTACTGCATGTTCGTCCTCTTACTCAGTCATGCGAGTGTTAAGTTCACCAATGTCACAGCCATCAAACCAGCTGAGATCCTGTGCCAAAACTGAGTGAAAAAACTGTTTTCTCATTCTCTTGGTCTGCCGTGCTGCAGTTATAACCCAAAAGGAAGTCTGCAGGTAGCCAAAAATCAGGGCAGTGACTCCTATTCCAACATAATACAGGGTCAACCTGAAGAAAGATGATCATAAATGTTAGATACTTTTTCACCCTCGATACCAAGTGAAATGAAATAAAGTAAAATCTGTTATAGTATTTCATTAAGAACATTTATGCTAGATCCTAAAATATGACTAAAAATAACCAGCCATGAGAGAGAGAGAGAGAGAGAAAGAGAGAGAGAGAGAGAAAGAGAGAGAGAGAGAGAGAGAGAGAGAGAGAGAGAGAGAAGCATGTTGAATGTCTACGTTTCCCTGGTAGGACATTTAGGGTATGCCTCTTTTATATTAGCAGCAGGGAATTAGTAGTTTAAAACATACTTGCTCTTTATATCTTCTTTCAGTTGACTCTTTCATAGGAAAAAGTTACACGTAGATAATTAAGATAGCTATAGGTTGAACAAGAGGGCAAAGAAGATGGTAGTGGTCATGGGGGCCAGACAGTGATGTAGTGGTAAAAGGCAATGCCCTGCAAAAGAATCCCACATGGGAAGGCTCCCAGTTCAAGTCCAGAGACCTCTTTGAATATGTCAGACACCTGCTTGCCTATGATCCAGGACTGGCTGAGGTGTTAGGGGTAGATCCTGGCATTTAGACCCTATTGGGCATACTGTTTCTCTGTGCCTCTCTAGCTCATGGAAAAGTAAATGTAAGAGTTAAATAAAAAGAAAATTGTAGTAGTCAAAACATTTGATAAAAAACTTTTAAAATATACATACCATTGTGAGCAGCAGATGGCATAATGGTTACATTGCTGGACTCCCACTTAGTTGAATGTGGTTTGAGTCCTGGACCCAGCGATTTTAAACTCATGCCAGGTGTATGTGCGTTTATGCCCAAAATCCTGAGAGGAGATCTGAGGAGAAGGGATTGCTGTAGGGCCATCCCACCCTGGAGGGTGATTTCTCACTTTCTGTCTCTCTGTCTTTCTGGTGAAACTGTGCACCCTATAGGAAAAATCTCTTAATACACACACACACACACACACACACACACACACACGTGCACACACACACGCACACACACACACCATTAAATCCAGAATTCAATAAGAAGGAATTTACCCCAAGGTAAGCTGAAGACATTCAAAGTGTCTAACAGTAGGAGACCAGAAAAGAAATGTAGTCCTTTAATAAACATATACAAACATATACTGGACACTCGTATGTGTGACTGTAGAGATACAGCCATGAACAAGATATTAAATATTTCCATTGTGGAGGCAGCACACAGACAATATATAAAGAGAAAGATTTTGATTGTTTTATGAAGGAACTCAATAGGGTGATGGGTTACAGAATAATTAGTGGGTAAATGTAGACTTGGAGAGCTAGCACAGAAGAATAGATTACTTAAGAAAAATTTCTTTGGGGTTAGCAGCTAGTGTGGTGGTTGGGGTGCTGGACCCACATGGCTGTTCAAGTCTCATACCTGGCAGTTCACTTTCTCACTTTCTCTCTCTCTTTCTCTCTCTCTGGTGAGTGCATATGCCCTATAATACATCAAATGAATAATTTTTTAAATAAAGATTTCTTTGTGGAAGTAATATTCTAGCTAGGTAAAATATAGAATGTAAAATGAAGTAAAGTAAAATAAGACCAGTTATAAAAAAAGCAAGAAGAGGGGACCAGCAGTTGGTGTAATGGCTATGTCGCTGGACTCCCATGTAGTTGACCGTGGTTCTAGTCCCAAACCTGGTGGCTTAAACTCATGCTGAGCACGTGTGCATGTGTGCCCAAGATCCCAAGAGGAGACTAGACGAGAAGGAATTGTGATGTGGCCATCCCCCCAGGGGGTGATTTCTCGCTTTCTGTCTCTCTGACTGTCTGTTTTTCTGGTGAGTGCACACGCCTTATAGCAAAAACCTCTTCAAAAAAAAAAAAGAAAAAAAAGGAATATTTGAGAGAGAGAGGAGACATATTTCTCACATGAGAGACTGAGGCAGAAATAAAGGTTAGCATGTCAAATAACATAAGTCCAAGTCCGAAGTGGTATGAAATGATGAAGTAGGAAAATTTGGCATATCATAGGGATTTTAGCTACAGTGCATCATTCAGGTCTTATTCCAAGAAGACCACTGGAAGATTTAAGTATGGGATGACCTTATCTGCTCAACTTTCAAAAAATTAGAAATGAAAGAAGATATAAATAGAGAAACAATACATATTCATGGATTGGAACACTTGATGTTGTTAAGATGACAATCATCCCCCCCAATGTAGCTTCAATGCAATTCCTATAAAAAATCTCAGTAGGCCTTTTTGCAGAAATTCAGAGTGATTCTAAAATTTATATAGAAATGTAATGGAGTAAAAAAATCCAAACTAATTTCTAAAAAGAAAAAAGTTGGAGGGCTTATACCTCCGGCCTTTTTTATTTAAACTATGAAACTACAATAATCAAGACAGTGTGGTATTGGTATAAGGATAGATATACCAATAAGTGCAGCAGAATTGAAAGGACAGAAATTAACTCTTGCATTTTCAGATAGTTGACTTTTAGCAAAGGTTCCAAGGCAATTCAGTGGAGAAAGGATAATCTTTTCAATAAATGATGCTGGATAACTGGAGAGCCACATGTAAAAAAGATTACATTTATATCCTTATCTCACATTATTCACAAATACATTTTTTAACTAATTATTTATTTGGAGCCCACACCATGGAGCAGGGAGTAGCAGTAGTCACTGAGACAAACCTAGGGAAGAAGACCACCACCTCAGGCCTTCCACTGCCCTTCAACTGCCCTAGGTACATTCCAGAGTGGCTCCTCCCATATCCCTTTGGTGCCATTACCCCCAGAGTTTGTTCTGTGGAGCAGAGAGAAGAAGTAGTCAGTGCAACAAACTGAGGCAGGAAGACCATCTCAGACCTCTAGCTGTCTTCTGCCCATCCAGGAATATTTTGAGAATTCATAGTTCTCTGAACCATGTTCACTCCCCCAGTTGAAACGTTCAGCCATCTGCAGGTGCACCTGGTCCTGAAAGACTGGGAAAGGAATCAACACCTAAAGCTGGCTATAGACACACTTCTCTGATAGGAAGACAAGGCCCTCTACCAAGAACATGTCTAAGAAGTAGAGATTTTTTTATCCACAACACTATAGAGTTGACACCAGAAAAGTAGGAAGAAGCATATAAACCATCAAATGACTAGAAACCAAACTAGAAACCAGTGCAGACACACAAGAAATATGGGAAGGCAGGAAACATCTCCCCCTCAGTAGAACAGAGCAATTCTTCAGCCATCGACAGCATTAAAAAAATTGCAGGAATGTCAGAAACAGTTCAGAATATTCATGAGGACAGAGATGAGTAAGTCTTCACAGGATTTGAAGGAGGAAGTAGACACCATAAGTAGAATCAATCAGAACTTTTAGAGATAAAGACAGCAATTCAGGAAATCAAGACCTCTCTCTAAAGAATAACAGATTGGATCATGCAGAAGACAGAATCTCTAAGCTTGAAGACAAAACCTTTGACTTAGATAAAACCACCAAAAATAATGAAAAAATAATTAAAAGAAATGAGGACAACACACAAGAAATACCAGACACTACTGATTGCCCAAATATCCCAATAATAGATATTCCAAAAGGCAAAGAATTGGACAAGGACATTGAAGATCTATTCCATGAAATACTTGCAGAAAACTTCCCAAATCTAGAGAAGCATTCAGATATCCAGACCCAAAAAATATAAGGGACTCTAAACAGAATGAACACAAGAAGATTCTCTCCTTGGCGCATCATAGCCAGAATGGTAAAAATCACAAAGACAAGATTCTAAAAATGGCAAGAGAGAAACATCAAATCACTTACAAAGATTAACCTCATAGGCTAACATCAAATCTCTCAACTGAAACAATGCAGGCAAGAAGAATAGGAAGACATATTCAAATACAGAAAGAAAAAGAAAATCAATCAAGAATACTATCGTCAGCAAGGTTATCCTCCAAATGGGAAGAATGAATGAAGTCATCACAGACAAACAAAAACAAAGAATTCACCAATACTAGACCAGCTCTTCAAGAAGTACTGAAGGGAGCAATATTATAAAACTACAAAGAGATAGAAATGAGAACAAATAACAGCCAAGAAAATGGCTAACAAAATGACAGGGACAGATCCACAAATATTGATAACATTGAATGTTAATGAATTAAATTCTCCAATTAGAAGACATAGACTGGCCCCACTATACAAGATGGCAGGTGAAAAAGCTGCAAAGCAGGATGCTAAGGAGAAGAAACCTGAAAGCCAAGAAGGCTGATGCTATTGGCAAGGTTAAAAAGGGTGACCCCAAGGCTAAAAAGCCCAAGAAGAGGAAGCCCCATTGCAGCCAAAACCCCGTCCTAGTCTGGGGCATCAGCAGATACTCCTGGTCTGCCATGTATTCCAGGAAGGCCATGTATAAGAGGAAATACTCAGCCACTAAATCCAGGATCAAAAAGAAAAAGAAGGTTCTTGCGACTGTCACAAGAACAGTTGGTGGAGACAAGAATGGTGGTACCTGGATGGTTAAACTGCACAAAATGCCTAGGTATTATCCTACTGAAGATGTGCCTCGAAAGCTGTTGAGCCATGGCAAAAAACCCTTCAGTCAGCATGTGAGAAAGCTGCGAGCTAGCATCACTCCTGAGACCATTCTGATCATCCTCACTGGACGCCACAGAGGCAAGAGAGTGGTTTTCCTGAAGCAGCTGAGCAGTGGCTTGCTACTTGTAACTG